GGTCCACTGATGATTGTTACGCATATCTTAAAGATTGCGTTACTTTATGTTGTCTGTGACATGATTTTCAAATAATTTCAGAGAAGCTCAAAATGATTTCCCCAAAATAATTTTTACATAATATGAAAGTTTGTTGCTTGTAGTGTTTTCACCTTCAGTCTTAAAAAAAACTGATCAAAGGCACATGATGAAAATCGTCGCTTTTTTCAACTAATTCTAGTGCGTAAACAAAAGGTAGCTGTACGCTTTAGCTTTTTATAATTACTCAGATTGTTGTAATTCTAAAAATATTATATATCTAGGCCAACGACGAGTTATACTTAAAATTTTAGCAATATGTTTTTTTTCTAGCGCGGTTGTTTTGAAACGCGAGTCAAGCGAATCGTAGTGAATTCCAACCCTGTTTTTGGCTTGTAAAATCGACCGCGGGGCTTGAAACGGTTTTCCGCGTTTTTCTTGAAAACGAGCGGTTCTTTCGAATAAAAAACTACATAGCGTTTGTATACTTACTTAGGTCTACCACTATGCAAAAGAAGAGCGATTTTGATTCTTTGAGCCTTGCCACGAATTGACGATTTTGGTCGATTTTTGCATGGATTCGCTCTTAACCATGTTTGTTTTAATTTCGGCGTTGGATCGCTCGAGCAAAGTGTTAAGCTGGGTCGGCTCGTAATTTTCGATTTCCTTGGCAATTCCCTTCTCTAAACACCACTTTTTCCAAACCGACAACCAAAAAGCAGAGCTTTTTACGGTGTTTTCGTTGTTTGAGCTGTTTTCAGCTGGGGTGGCGAAAGAAAACCTACTTAAAACGCCGGCCATTGTTTCGTTCGCAAATTTTCAAATTTTGTTGGGACATCCAAGGCTGGCATTTGATTGGCTATCTGTGAGTTTCTTTGATTATTAACCAATCGGAATGTCTCATTTGTTACTTTCTTTGCACTGAATTAACTGAATTTTAGCCTTAATACGCGAAAGAAAACTGATGAACGAAGAGTCAGTTTACGCTCCATAATTAAAAGTTCTTAAAAGGAAGACCTCGTTCTTTATTCTATAAACACCATTTCAAAATCGCTACTTTGTCGACTTTTTTCCTTTTTTTGGGGGGGGAGGGGAGGGTGGGTATTTTTTTTTTTTAGCTTATCATCGGTAGCAACTAATTTCCGGATTTTCCAAAACAAGAACTCACGTTTAAAGGGTCATCTCCGTGCATTTAACCCTCTAACTCCCAAAAGTGATTAACAAGTCACTCCTCCTTATACTATCCGAACATGGTACACCAAATTGGTAATGAGAATACTCCAACTTATCCGGTAGAAGTTGTTATCATGATTTAACACCAAATTCTCGTAAATAGTTTCTAAGGAAAAGTGTAGCAACCAGAGGGGAGAATTAACAATAAGATTTGGGAATCAAAGGTTTATTTCTCGAAAGTGATATTCAGTTTGCGACTGAATCTGAAAACCTTCAATAGAAGATAAAGTTCCAAAAAATAAAAGCCTACGTTTTTGTGGTCATGGCCGTGCACTTAACCTCTTTCAGTGATGTCGAGCTTGCGATTGAAACTTTAAACTCTCGTCGTAATTACAAGTACCTATATTGAAAACAAGCCTTTCATTAGAATCTTCTCGAGTAACTTGCAACTGAAAAAGTTAATGAGGTAAGTGACAACCTTTCCGTTTTGAACGCAGAAGTCCGCGAAAAATTTGAAATTTCCTTCGTAATCATGGCATTCTCACGCCGCCATCAATCCGAATAACTTCACCATTAATCATTTTATTTTCAATGATTGTTTGTACAAGCTGCGCAAACTCCGCTGGGTCTCCAATGCGCTTGGGAAATGGAACTATCTGAGCCATTTTCTGTTGTTCTGATGGTTCTGGTCTTGATTTGGTTAACATTGGAGTTGAGAACATTCCTGGTTTTTGAAAAGAAAGTGTCAATTCAATTTGTCGTGCACTGACAATAACCTCTCAACGGTTCTGCAATTTAAGAAATTGCAGAAGAAATAAAGCCCGAAAACTTCAGGCTTCGACGGGATTCAAACCCGTGGATACCACTGGCCCAGTTCAGCTTCAAAGTTGGTTCAAATGGGGTCCTGTGTTAATAATAACAAGCCGGGGAGCTACGTTTCCCACAATTTGTGAGAAGTGTCAGGGTTCTTTAACGTCCTCTGCTAACCAGTAAAGAGAAGATACAGAAGACGAGGCCTCTGGTTCATGGTCCTTATCACAGAAGATTAGAACGTCTAATCATTTGTCAATGTCATAGTGAGTTAATTTAAGACCCTGTATGTTGGTCCGGTCTGGGGCCTGAACCCTCGACCTCCTGCATGGCATTCCAGCGCTTTACAATATGAGCTATTCAAACACGGTTTTTCCCACACGAACTCATTTTACAGTCATTTAGCCTTGGATGGTAATTGCTTCACACAAGTTTGCAGAGAAATTCAATTCATATACCTGGTGCAATTGTATTCACTCTTATACCATGCCGTCCCAGATCTCTTGCTAAAGGAAGTGTCATAGCGTTAATAGCACCTTTTGATGCTGAATATGCCACCTTTCCTGACTGTCCATCATAGGCATGAACACTGGAGGTGTTAATAATTACTCCTCTCTCCCCACCCTCATCAGGTTCATTTGTAGCCATTTGTTGCGCTGCAAGCCGAGTCACATTGAATGTTCCTGTCAAGTTGATCTGCAAGTAACATTTCTGAGAGTAGGTAGTGGGTAATAAAAAAGTTTCACAAGCTTTTGATCAGCAAAAAGGAGTTTTGGAAAGGTTGTGCACATCAGCTATATTAGGTCAAACATCTCTTGCCATTCATTGAGGATAATTTTCTTGTCCAAAATAGCCCCCACCCCTTCCCCCATTCATTTGTCTATGTTGAAGACCAATTATGTACACAAACAGTTCAGTCTTTTTCAGTTTTGAGCAAAATTGGATCGTGGGGGGGTCCTGGAAAGACAAAAGAAAATTAAACTTGCTAATGTCTTCTAAACTTTTGTGCTTGATAGAAGTAGCTCACATCTTACTGGTAATAGGGGAGGGGGGTACGCTGCTTTGGTATATGCCACCAACAGGCTTGATATTTAGGAACTCTGACATCAAGGGTCTTTCTTGAATTACATGAGGGCATCCATTTCTGAGAGGATTTCTAGAATGTAGAGTAACTAACAGCCACAAAATCTCCCACAAGGAGTAAGTTGACTTAATCCTTGGATGAAAAGTCATGTTGGGTGTACATTCTATTAGAAATGGGGTTACATTAATATTTGAAGAACTAAGCACACAGCAATAACAAGTATAACCATGCACCCATCCCTGGCATCTCCCAGAATTTATCCAGGTTTCTGTTGTACAGGGACTGCGCAGCAAGTTTTCGAGTGGGGGGGCTAAAGAAGAATGCGTGAAGGAAAATTTTTTTTAAAAATTATTTTTTGTTTAATTTATTTTTATTCTTGCAAAAAAGTGGGGGGGCTAAAGCCCCCCCCAGCCCCTCCCTCTGCGTGGTCCCTGTTGTATGAGTCAAACAGGTGAATTCCTGGTCCCCTCACGAGGGATGATATTCAACAGGATTTCCTGATAACTCTTTCACACTTGTGTGTGGATAAGGGAATCATTCCTCCCAAAAAAATTGCAGAGAAGACTCTTAACCAAGAGTATTCAGAGTCAAACCTTAAAAGGGTAACTGCTGTTTTGAAGTGTACACTTTCTCAACATTTTAATCCAAGATGACTTTTATCATTAGTTTGTCAACGCCCAATCTAGGAAAGGATTTCAATAAGCATTTGAATGTCACCTGGTATTGCTGGCCTGCTCCCCCCTTCCCTTCTAATGGAATCAAGTTCATTGATCTTCACCTCAAAAACTGTCTCCCACTAGGGTGAATGTTTACTGATGCAATAGTCTTACTGATGTTATATTAAAAAAGATTATTAAGTGTCATTTGCTTTGGATTAAAACCAAACTGATAGTACCTTTGATATTTCTTCAAAAATATCAAGAGGGTGGACCTCACCCTCATCTGACAAAGTTTTTGCTAGTTTTACTATACCAGCGGTATTCACAGCAATACGCAGTGGACCACACTTGTTTACAACTGTTTTAATGGCTTGCTTCACATCAGATTCTGATGAAACCTGGAAGACCAAAAAGGCTAATTATACTTGCAAAATCCACTTTCCCCTGATTTAATACTCTGGCAGTTAAGACTTATGAATTTTTTACAAAGAATTATTGTGAAATGGAAAGACTGATAAAGAACCTGGCTTTAGTAAGCATCAGGAAGTAAGGAATTCTGTGAGACAATTATTGACAAAGGCAGTGCTTGCTGAAGCGACCCTTGCCTCTCTCCAGCAAGCAAGCACGCGGGTAGTAGAGAGCAAGCAACTTGGTTTTCTTAGGATGCAAAGCAAGATCGCTTGATGAGAAGAGATTGAGATACTGAGGGATTGGTACAGGACAGATCGACGAGGCTCGGTGTGTCGTGCCAGCCTCGACCCAATCTCCCTCCTACAACACCGTATGTTCATATATTTCCCCTGGGAAAGCCTCCCTACTGTTTGAACCTATCCTTAAAGTTTTTATCTCTTAGAACTTCATAGAGAGTTGGACACGTAAGCTGATCCACGAGGTTCACTTTCTGCGTAGTCGCATACAATGTTCCCCTCCCTTCACCCCTTACTGGCTTACCCCTCCCTCTATACAACCTGGCCCTATCCGGCCCCATTTTGGAAGACTAGAGCGGAATTCCTCCTTACATCAGTGGGAACAAATACACATTTCTCTCCAAGATCACTAGCAACTTTGTCTCCTTCACTCGATGGTAGATCTGCTATTACAACTCTACAGCCCTGCTGAACCAATTTCTGCGCAGCAGCTCGACCTAAACCATTAGCTCCCCCAGCGACGAGGCAAGCGACACCTTTAAGCACCGTCGCCATGTTAGAAATCGCCAGCAAGCGCTCAGCGGTGAACCGCACGAAGCACGTGTGCAAAACTTGTCGTGAAAAGCAAAAAATCTTTATATGAACAGTGAGCCAAAACGGTTTCATTAGTCTTTTGAAGCCAGTTTTCTCTGCATCTTACGAAAGTGAAGGTGTTTTGAGATGTATCTGCCTGCAGGAGCGGAGGATTCCGACTCAGACGATGACGGCTTTTATATGGGCACTGTTCACAACACGAACAGTAATTTTGGCGTTACAAATGGTGACATAAACAGGAAAGATCATACACAAAACAACTTCCCTATGATTCCTGCAGGCGAAGAATTTGACAATGAAGACGGTGACGAGCTTGACTTTAATACTGTTCAGGCGAGGTCAATGAAAACGACGCCAGCCAAAATTAATAAGACATCAATTACAAATAACGACAGTCAACAAAATGAGATTAGTTTAAACTCAATGTCTGACAGATCTGGAGTAGGCAGAGGTCGAGGGCACCTGTTGCAGAGAGGGAGAGGACGTGGGGGATTTTCAAGGCCATGTTTGTCAGCTATCCGCAAAGGAAAATCATCAAGAAGGTTTATATACTGTCATAGATGTTTCTAAGAGTTCCTCCACCCTTGTTATGTTTGTTGTTAACATTTCAGTCCTCTTAAGAGTGATAGATCATATGATATAAAGGAAATGGTCAACAACTAAAGAAGCTCTTGATTTTAAACAAATTCTCCTTGTCAGTACCAAAAGGAAAGTTTAGAGAACAGTTTGGAGAATATGAAGTATCATAGATTACCTGGAAATTGGCATGAGCCTCTACCAACACCCATGGTAAAATTGGGGCTAATTTGCATATTCTTTTGATATTTTGAGGCAGTACGTATTATTGTTGTTTCTATCCATTGAAAATTTTTGTTTTTAAGATTAATTTGGTCTTACTTTTTGGAGTACTTACATGAAACTGTCCACTGGCCTTCAATCTTTCTGATGTGCATTTCTTGAGGAGATTTGTGTTGTTTTGGTGTGAATATGTGATCTTCTCTGCAACTATTGCATGTACAATTATCCCCCTACTCCCCCTGGGAAGGTTAACCTATGGCAAGCAAACAGGTTAGTGGAAGACCAATGGTAAAATCACCGATACTTGACAATATTTTCGAAGAAATCTGCTTTGGAGTGACTTTCTTCTTCTTTGAGAGTAACCATGGAGAGTTTTGGCTACAGCTTATAATTCTAATCGAAAGTCTTTACTTTTTTTAGGAGTAATTTCTCATCAAACAATTTAAAAGAAGCAGAGGCTAAGAAAGCTGCTGCCTTGTTAGCTGTGGAGGATTTGAGAGTCGCAGTTGTGAGAGGAAATACTGCTGCTGTTCAAAAATATCTGGACAATGGTAAGATGCAGTTATGGCTTATTTCTGTGGTAGTTGTAAAGAATATCTCTTCCCTTTGATCATATCCATTCTAGATACTATTCTGCAGCTCTTGAGGCTAAATGGCTTTGTTTGTTTTTTTTTCTGAAAATAGGAATTGATGTAGATGTTCAGCTCAAATCAGGATGGACTCCATTGATGCTAGCCGCTAGTTTAGCCTTGCCAGATATGGTGGAACTTCTTGCTAATAAAGGGGCTAATGTAAACTTCCAGAAAGGTAATAACAGTTCGGTTGGTGAAAGTTTCTTAGTTAACCCTTTACACTCTAACATTGGTATCCATATTCTCCATACTGTTCTGTATACATTTCCTAAGGTGCTGACAAGGAGAATTTGTTAAACAATCACAAGCTTTAAAAAAGGTAATAGTCAATATTAACATTGAAAAAAAACTAATCACAGCAGAGCATCATGCTTTATGAGATCATGCATAACTGGTCGACTTCATTGCCTGAAGAAGACTAGCAGTATGCAGACGAAACGTCATGATCTACATCACATGTGACTACATCATGAGACAAATGAAAAACTTAGCTTTTAGTGTTATTCACCACGATGATTAACCACAACCTTTTCTATGAAATCACAAGCTTTTTTACTAGATGATCATTTCCTTTATTCCTATGACCTGAATATGTGAATCAGAGGTGATGTTTTGAGGAGAAATTAGATGCTTGTCACTCTTAGGGGTTAAGGGGTTAAGGTCACGGAATCATTTGCCAGTTCAAGCTAGTATGCATTGAACATGTGGTACACATATTGCTGACCTGCAATGGATTCTCCTTGTCAGCACCTTAGGAAATGTATAGAGAACAGAATGGAGAATATGCATACTGATGTTAGGTTGTGCAGGCTTATTAACATTTTCCTTTCATGCTTGTATTCAGAGATGTACACTGTTCTGATGGCAGTATGTGCTGTTCCTAGGAACAAGCCAGAGGACCAGGTCCTGACATGTGTGGAGTTGTTGGTGGAAAGGAATGCCAGAGTCAATGTATATGACAAGTAAGTGGGCTTATCAAACTCCAGTATCTTCTCTCATTATATGACTGGCAGTGCTGTGTTTGGTCAAGATACTGGTTATTGCCTTGTTCTTTTTTTTTTGTGTGTGTTTTTATGGAGCATGCCTTTGTCTTGGCCCATAGAAGTGCAAAAAAATAACTCAGCCAATATCCAGCCATCTTGACTTTCTGCTTGGTTAATAAGGCATATATAATACTGTGAAAAAAGCTACTAAATGTAGGCATGAGGTGAGCAGAAAGATGTGAAATTTTTTATTAAACTAGATTTCGAATGTCGCCCCTGATGTATGCTGCAAGGGAAGGAAGAGTTACAGTCTGTGAAGTACTACTGGATCATGATGCAGAGATTAACAAACAGGACATGCGAGGCTGGACGGTGAGTTGCTGTTAAAGAGGATTTCATGAGCTCCAGAAACAATTTGGTATTGGTATCTTGGAAGATAGCTAAACCTCTTTAAACCACGCTGAATGTCAATTATTTTGTTTTTCAGTCCTTGTCATGGGCTGCTAATCGAGGTCATGGTAGAGTTGTGCGCATTTTATTGGAGCATGGAGCGGACCCTAAGATATACTCCAATGATGGCCAGGTACCAAGTGATCTTGCCTACTCCAGTGAGCATCATCGGGTTAGTAACCAGAAGTTTTTTCATGAAATCTGCTTAAAGATTCCATTTTTTAAACCAATCATTACAATTAGATGTAGAATGATGACACATGCTTGACACACATGCAGAAATGTCTCACATTTATCAGGTTGCAGATATGCTTTCTTTAGCTGCAAGTGGGAAGCAGCCACCCAGTGAAGTGGCTCCACAACCAGTAGCATCTTCAAAGTAAGGACACTCTGTTAGCTTCTTTCACAGGAAATAAATTAATTGGTTTTTGTGTTTTACTATGAGGCATTAAGCCTGGAGTAGGAGTAATCTTGAAAATGTTTAACAGTGTTACACAACGTAACTCTTTTTGGTTCATCCCCAGGGATTGCTGAAAAAGAATTTATTCTTACATTACCAATACCCTTAGAAGCACTGTGTTGATGGCATAATTGAACTTATAATAATAATTATTACAGTCAAACATGTATTAAGCCATCACTCACTAGGAATGTCTTGGTGACCGACCACCAAATACTGGTTAACCACTTTATACAGGTTCCACAGAATAGGGGTATTATAATGAAAGGATGAAAATGTCGTTTTATGCCATTATTGACCACTTTATGAACATCTGCTTAATGCAGGGTGCCTGCCTAATTATGGTGCTGCGTAAGACAGGTTTGACTGAAGTTCTTGAACTGTAGGGCAAATTATGGATGGAAGTACTGTGTTGTGTTAACTACATGTAGTTCTTAAGCCTTATTATTGTTTTTTTCGATCTTTTTGCAGAGTTCATGTAAGCGAGGATAGCTCCAGGTAATTGCCAAATATTTAGTAGTTTAAAAGGCTATTTTCAGTAATGTTTGCCACATTTGATGTTTTCTCTAATTGATGTTATTGTTGTAGAATTATGGTTAGAAACTTTTTTAAAGTATGATTGGATGGAAAAACAACTTAAAAAAAAAAAAATCTTAAAAATCTAAGTATGGTAAAAATTAAAAATTTGGGGATTTTTTCTCAGTGCGTGTCATTTGCTCAATGTTTTGTACATTTGGTATATGCCCCGTATTCTTCCTGAAAGCAGCTCCATGGAATGCCTTTTGATTAATAATGGTAATAGGACCAAGTGGAGTCCAATGCTGTCTCTTATCATATGAGTGATTAACAAAATCAGATGAATGCAAAGTGGGAGTCCAATTTTTTAATCACAAGTATGATTACAGACAGAATTGGATGACACAAAGTCCTGTTACCAATTAATCAAAACTATGAAAAAATTTGAGAAAGAAACTAGACATTGGTTGAAAATATGAGACAACAGCACATGCTCATGACGTGTTCTGTCCACTTACATAGGCATGACACATGAACTGTCCTATTTCGCTGTCCAATTACAAGCATGACATGATTGTACACTGTCTTATTAGTGCTCGAATCAGGCTAGTGATGACCAATCACATTTGAGAAGTTTGTTTTAGTTTTGATCAATGAAATATAAGTGTCATGGTGATCTTGTTTCATTTGATTGCAGTTCAATGAGGTATAATGACCTTGAAATGTTCTTGTGTGGCCTGGAGTTGACACATTTATTGCCAGTATTTCAGGTAAAAATAATAGTCTGTCTGTCTGTCTGTTTGTCTGTCAGTCAGTCTGGTTGTTGGTTAGTTGCATGTTATCCATCATTTCAATGTTTAGGAAGTTTGTTGTTTGACTGACAGAGGGACTGACATACTTATTGTTTTTTTTTTTTCAATGTTGTATGTAAATTAGTATGTGTGTGACAAACAACAGGAACCATGTAAAATATGCACCGTGATTCTGAGGGTTATTTTCATAAAATTAAGTGTGTATTATACATGCCAGGTAAATATGGTACTGAATCAATCTGCTGGTCTGCTGCAGTCTGTACATCACTGTGTCAGTCAATCAGTCAGTTGGTCAGTCAGTCAGTCTATCGCTCCTTTATTCCATCAGTCTGTCTATGGGTCAATCAGTTGATCAGTCAGTTTAAGTCAGCAGTTACTTTTACAGTCCAACATTGCATCAGTCTTTCAGTCCGTTAGTCCTTCGGTCCTTCAGTTCCTTCTGTCAATGAGCCATCCTCAGTGATTTTTGTCAGTCAGTCCCTCTACTCACAAAACATTTATCAAGCAGATAAATCCCTCATACATCCATGGCCACTCCTTAGTCATTGGGTCAGTTAGCAGGCTGACAGTCCTGTCTGAATTAAATTCCTTTTGTTTAGGAACACAAGATGACTTTTGAGGAATTCCTTAATCTGACTGAAAAGGAGCTTGACCAGGTGTGAATGGGCTCTATACATGTAGAATATAAATTATTTAAAATACTTATGCATTGATCATGATTGGAAAAATATTGCATCATTTTTTTCCATTTGTTTCTACCCCAAATATCTCTGTTGGTTTTCCTAACAGGGAATAACTGTTCCGGGTAGAGAGAAACTCTGCCAGAATAACCTGTCTTGCCAAAGTACAAGGCAAAGGTGCTGCTTAAAACTCAAACCTGTTCGTCTTGTTTTTGACTCTGGCATTCCTTCCTACTATGTCTATTAGAGTAACACACTAAGATTGATTTTTAAATAAGTGGGGAAAATCTGAGATTGTTTTGGTGTTGCTTCACTTTTTCCTGTGATTGACTTCAAGGAGTTGCATCATCACTGCAAACAACATGAGCAAAACAAAAACCAATTGCAACTTATTTATCCATGTTAATGTTTTTGTATTGTATCTTGGATTCTTTGTAATATTTCCTTTGATCTGATTGGCTGCTGTGACCACTTTGCCTTTTGTTTTGCAATCCTTGATTGAGATGCCGTCTGTTTGGATTTGTAAAAAGTCGAACCACTTTTTTTTATTTTGCTCGTAATAGATGGGAATTACTCAAGTGGGTGTGCGAACAAAGATATTAGATTCCATAAGAGATGTTCACAAGAAGGAGTGGGATGTGACCAGCTTACAGTCAAAGGAAAAACATATTTTAAGGTGGAATCTTCTTTTCTGTTCTGACGTCTTGGAGTAGGTGTGTCATCTCGGTGAGGCCTGTCAAGTCATAAATTGTTTACCTTTTCAATCTTATAGTGCCTCAGAAGTGACAGTCATTTTGGCCAATGTGTCAAGACATTTGGCGTTTGTCAGGAGCAGTGTTTCATATGTACAGAAACACTTAAATACCATAAAAGAACCTCTGGAATTTGTGCAGGTATAATTAACTTTAGTGTAAGTTGGTGTAATCAGTGACCACAATGTTTTTTTCCAAAGTCTTTTCAGTGGTTGGAAGTTTATTTTGGGGAACCAGAAGTGGTACCAATAGAACATGCCTTTGTCACCTGAAGAGTGCCCTTTTTTTCTTTGAGTTTCTATGTCTTTTTAATTATCCTTTATAATTGTTAGCTGGCACAGATTAGGAACTCAAACCATGACAAACATCACTTTGAGCTTGCAAAAGGTTCCTTAAGATTAAGTTGCACTCTCCTCAGAAACACAATTGAAGTGTCATTGATAACAACTCAGCAAAATGTTACACTTGCAAGATTGTGGGTATGAATTCTTAATTTTCCTGTCATTTTCAGGATGTTACAGAAGCTGAGGGAATGGAAATGTACTCTAAGGAGGCTGTGGACACTGTTGAAAGTTTAAATGAAGAACTCAACACTGTGAAGACAAGAATTTCCAAGGTATGTGATGGATAACTTTATGATTATGTTAAGAGTCTTTGGCACCCCTTATTCCGTGTAATGTAAGTTGCAGAATATTGTTCAAAATATTTTATCTTCCAACATACAGAGTCATTTAGACATACACAGAGCTACACTGTAATTGATTCACAGATTGGCATTCCATGGCAGTCTAAGAAAACAATTTTACACTTAATTTGTAGTTAACCCTTTAATTCTCAGATCAAATTTGTGATTCTCCTTACTGTCAACCATACAAACATACATGGTTTAGTTCAGAGAATTTAGTATTGGATCAACTAATTATCCCCAAATTGATATTTCTCTTTATTCTCATCACTTTTCTGGTTGATATTGTGTTGATATTGTAGGGAAAAATTGTTTTGGTCACTCATGGGAGTTAAAGGGTTAATTTTTATCATAGGATTCTATTTTGACATTTTTCTTACTTAATTTTGACTACTTTGTTTTTTGTGTTCAATTTTGCGTACTGAAGACACAATCTGCAACATTTCAAACCAACAAAATTTTCACACTACACATGATTTCAAATAGAATTGGTCACATCTAGTATTACTGTTACACCAGATGGGTAGACAGTTGGTTGTTACTAGTCATGAGGCTTACAGTTCAACCTTTTTTTTGCCATTGGCAGATCAAGTGTAAGGTGTTCAACACAAGTCCAGACCTGATAAATGATGAGAAACCACAAGGAACCCAATCTTCTCTAAGAAGTGGCTCTTTACTTGTAGCAGGAGTGGCAATTGTTGCACTGGGTGCATTTTTGTTTCACAAGGCATGGCATATGACATAAAGTTCAGTACATTGATGACTCAACATCATGGTGTATTGTACAGGCTGTTGCTATCTTTTATTGCTCTGCTTCATTTTGATCAAGTGGCTGGTTCCACTTCAACTTTCTTGTATGTGGAGATTCACACAGTTCATCAGTAGAATGTTACTTAACCCTTTAACTCCCAAGATCTAATTGTGAATTCTCCCCTGCAGCTGCTACACATTTCCTTGTAAATTAGTTTTGAGAACTTGGTGCTAGATCAAGATAGCAGCCTCTACGAGGCAAGTTTGAATATTCTCATTACCTGTTTGCTGAAGAATGTATGGATATTCGAGGGAGAAGTTTCATGTTAATCACTTCTGGGAGTTAAAGGGTTAATGTCTTGTTCTGTCAACCCTTTACACTTTAACATCAGTATCCATCTTCTCCATGATCTTCTCTATAATTTCCTTTGGTTTTAACAAGGAGAATTAATTTAACAATCAAAGCAAAGTTGGTGATCATTTCCTTTATTCTCTTCATGAATGATTCAGCAGTATTACTGTGAGGAGAAATTAGATGCTGGTCACTCTTAGGGTTTAAAGAAGAATTAGGCTCCAGATCATTGAATTTTTGTCTCTTTGATCAAAAACTATATTTGAATATTTATTTCATACTGTGCTTCAAGATCACCAAACTACTTGAAAATTATCACCACTCCCTTTCACATTTCCCATTAAAGTATTAATTATTACTGTTACAAGAGAGTTGGGTTATCTGGATTGTCTTTAATTCAAAGTGTTAGAGAATAACTTCCTGTTTTGCAACTGTAAATAAATGCAGATAAGGAAGAAACTTCAATGAACAAGCTTCCCTCTGATTTGGTTCTCATACAATTTTGAAAATTTTCTTTCTGGGAAACCTCCATAACTTCTCATACCTTTTAGATACAGCTACTTAAAGGGATCATCCTTAAACTTTCCTTGTCACTATAAAGATGCTTTTAATATTTGTATATACATTTCTTGTTCTTCAAATTATGCATGAAATATTGTTGCTTAATTATTAAAATGAGAACAGTTTTTTGTTTATTAAGATGGTACAGACAAAAATTAGGAATAAATGAGAATGATTATTCCTTTGTAATATAAATTTACAGAAAGTTGGGAAAAATTACAAGTAATTCTTCGTTTCAGTGGCTAGTTGTGTAACTTTTTTGTGTGTATTAATTACATTTGCAGCATTTGAGAATATGATTCAGAATCATTGTAAGATTTAGAGTCATTTTAGGAATGCAATTCAGAAAGGCATTTGTTCTTTTGGGTGCAATTTTGGAAATCAATAAGTTATTAGACATTACTGTTTGGGAAGGCAGTTGGGTTAGCACCATAGTTCAGATGCTGTTATAACCACACTCTGAATGGACTAAAAATTATCAGATTTCATGCCTATTGATCCAGCTCTACATCTTAGAAAGATGGCAGTGAGGCTGGATATTGCATGTTTTTGACCACAATATTTACAAAATTATTTGCTGAGCAACTGCTTTCAGAATAATCTTTTCTTTTAAAAATATACTTTGTCAAATTCATTTAAGTATAGTTTTAGATCTTCTAATAATAAAATCAAAATTGGAAAACAATTTGTTAGGATTTGGGTAACAGTTTCACACCAATTTTTAACAATTTTTTATAACATTTTGGTGGCAAATTCATAGTGCTTATTTGCTTATTTTGTCAAAGGGTTGAGTTCAAATTTGAAGGACTTATCTTAGATGTGAATGCTCAGTCCAGAAATTCTAAGTTAGTGGTTGGTTGTTGCCATTGTGTACTGAATGATTATCCAGCTAGTCTAGGAGTGACACTTTTTTGATTTACTCCCCATCATGTTGTAGTTCAGTTTCACGACACCAGTCACTAAACCTTCCTTCTGCAGCCATACTGGCTGACCAGCAATAAATGTAGCATGCACATTGAGGTCTTCATCCAGGAAGACTAAGTCTGCATCAGATTTGTAGTTCAAGGTGCCTTTCCTTTGTTCAATCCCCAGCACCTGGGCAGGGTGTAGAGTAGCACCCTCAAGTGCTTCCACTGCGCTGCAGCCTGAAACATTTTGAAAGAAGAGGATTCCTTTAACCTTTCACTCTCAAGATTTAAATACAAATTCTACTCACCAACTGCTTTTTTTTTTTTTTTTCCCATAATTTTCACTCTGAGAATTTGAAGGAAAATCAAACAATTTGCCATTGTGGAATTCTTGGAAATGATACTTTGCTGCCACAGCGAGTTTTATACTTTTTGTTTCCTAGAGGTGATTAAAGTGTATTGCTTAATTCATCATCCAGCAAGCAAATGATTGAAACAGTGGAAATTGTGAACTTCTGTAAACGGGTTAATAACGCACACGAAAAAATGACGCTGAAAACGAGTCCATTTTTCATGTAGCATGAGTGCAAACGTGTAAAGGGTGGATATTACAAATAGTGTAAACGTGTTTTAAAAATTCTGTCTGTCTTGACTATCGTGATGCTTTTTTCATTTAAATGATAAATAAGTAATAACATGATTTCCTGTACGTATAATTTGGTGTAAATAAGCACTTTTAAATTTTTCAAAGACTACAAATTTCACCTGCCCAACGGTCTCGTGCAATTTTGTTGTCTTTGAAAAATTTACTTGTGCTTATTTCCACCGAATTGCACTTGAACTCATGTTTTATTACCTACACTAAACAGAAGACAACAGGTTCTCACCTGACATTTTTCTGAATCTCTGAATGCAGACATCCATTGATGCAATGCTAAAATAAACACGTTTAATATCATGTTGTTCACATAGTGAGTAACAGACATAGAAAGGTCTTCAGATGTCACTTACACCCTTGAAAAGCTTTCCTTGTCATAAAGGGAGAGCTTTGATCATCAAACACAATGATTGTGCATTGTTCTTTCCACCCTCTGACCTATAAGAGTGACTAGCGTGTAATTTCTTCTTACAATGTCACACTTGAAACAAATATTAAGGTCACAGGAACAGGGGAAATGTTCATCAATTAAAGAAGCTCTCGATAGCCTACGTGTAGCCGTACCATCCCCTCCCCGCTAAGGTGAAACGGAGGTGAGGCAAAGTCTACGCAAACCTGACACTACCCATGTTCGGTGACGTTTCTCTTTTTGCAATAAAAATATAGTGCCTTTTTTCGGTTAACCCCTTTTTGTCGATTCTTTCGTCAATTCTGATTAGCTAGATTTGGTAATTTGTTTTCATAGTAACGAACAAGTGAACAAAACGCGTATATGGTCAACTTTTCAGAAAACAGCGATCTACGAAGTTTCAAGGCAAATTTGCGCGACTTTTGGGATATAGACATTTCAAGAAGAACAGCAGAAAGCCATAGATATGTTTTTCGAAGGTAACACTGCCTCCGTTTCGTTACCAACTGGCTATGGAAAATTTTTAATATCTTAAGCAGTGCCAGTGATCGATCGCCTTTCTTCTCTAGAGGTACTTACAAAAACGAAGACCCCGAAAACGAAGACCTAAGACCCCCTACGAAAACGAAGACCCATCACGAAAACGAAGACCCCCTACGAAAACGAAGGCCCATTACGAAAACGAAGACCCCCCCCCCACGAAAACGAAGATCAACAGTAGAGTAGTAGTCGTTTTAGCTTTAAAGTAGTCCCATTGAAGGCTTCATGGGGCTCTACTGTTGAAATATTTCGGATAAAATTGCAGACGTGCCAAATTCAGAATTCAAGATTTCTGTAAGGATCTTCGTTTTCGTAGTGTGTCTCATGAACATAATCTTTGTCCACAATGGTAATACCAACCTCTTTTGAACTTGTTTTAGTAATATGTCTTCGTTTTCGTGATAGGTCTTCGTTTTCGTAGGTGGGGGGGTTTCGTAATGAGTCTTCGTTTTCGCAGGGGGTCTTCGTTTTCGTAATGGCTTTTCGTTTTCGTAATGGCTCTTCGTTTTCGTAGATGGTCTTAGGTCTTCGTTTTCGTAACTACTAGATGAACCGGTCACTATGTTCTTCGTCACAGAAAACTAGGTGCACTATCTTAATAAAAACTTACTTTAGATCAACTGAGAAAACCGGTCGAAACTATGTTCACTTTTTTGTGCCTGTTTTCATGCAGAAACCGCGTTTGAACTTATTCGGTCGTATATATTTGAACTCGGTCGCTAAATTGCAAATTTACCAGAAAAATGGAAAAATAAATTCACTTCAATGTTGTTGTTTATCTCGATAACCTTTACGCTAACACGTGTCACTTCGTAAAAAAATATTAGCAAGTGACATTGTTTTGCATAAATTAGAGTGACCTCACGGAACACGATTAGTGTCAGGTTTGCGTGGACATTCCCTCGCATTCGTTTCACCTTGCGGGGGGAGGGTACAGCTACACGTAGGCTAGCTACTCTCGATAGCCTACGTGTAGCCGTACCATCCCCTCCCCGCTATAAGATTAGTGTCAGGTTGGCGTAAAAGTTCGATCGCTTCCGTTTCACCTTGCGCGCGGGGGGGAGGAGGGTACAGCTACACGTTGGCTCAGCTCTCCACTGTTAAACAAATTATCTTCGTCAACACCTTAGGAAATGTACTAAAAACAGTATGGGGAATATGCATGCTAATGTTAGGGTGGATGAGCATTCTAACTTATTACAAAGAGGATTATCTTGTTTTGTATTACTGTGAAAGGAACTAGTAATTGTGCTAGGGGAGGAGGGGCTGATTGGAGGAGAGAGTGCAAAGGTGTAAAATACTTTAGATGAAATAATGGAAAAAGAAAAAGGGCACAGATAAACAGGAATCAGTGTGAAGGGGGAGGGGGGGAGTTCTGACTTCCTCACCCAGCCCAGGTGCCCAAATAGTCCTAGTGAAATTGGTTCCCATAGGGTGTAGCATAGTGTCTATAGACTATACCTTCCTGCAAGTGTGTTAGTTCCTTTTAAGGTGGCTTTTTCATGATTTATCTCGACTTGCATTGGGCCAAGCCTGTGTAATCCTGGAGGAAGTCCAAGGGCAGCAATAGCATCAGTGACTAAAACAAGTCCTGTTTGAGAAAAAAAGAAAACAAGATTACCAAATGCACAAGCTTTTTTGTTTGTGAAAGTTTGAAAGAGAAAGGGGAAGGATCTAATGTATATTACAAATCAAATGATGTGAGGTACTCAAGAACAAGTTTATTGCATGGGTGGAGTTTGACATCAGTTGCATCAGTTGCATCAGTTGCATCAAAAAAGGATGCTTCCTACAGGTTTCGCAGAAAGATATGCTTTTCAAAATTGTATGAGAACCAATCACAACATCACTGCAACAGAAGCCATTACAGTCAAGGAATAAGTTTTTCCTGGAAAATAATGATCTTTGTTCTTCTCTCCTTGGTCCCCAGTACACCTGTAAATGGGGTGCTACTGACACAGCACCATAGTTTCTTAAGAAATTAACCCCCTTTTCAAAGTGGGAGACTGGTAAGGCTACAGAACTCTTCCATACCATTAGGATGTGATCTGTGTGCTATTCTTGTGGCTGTTGGATGTGTATGAATTCCATCAGCTATAAGTCCATAGAATATGGGTTTAGGGATATCGTAACTTGTGAGAAGTCCAACAATACCAGGATCTCTGTGATGGAACTAAAACCAAAAGTTATAGTCATAGGTTCTACATGGTATATTACAATAAAATACAGGATGAAAGACCTAATTTGCCTTATTGTGGTTTTATTGTTCTGTTTCAGATCAAATTATAGTACTCAAGGGACTACTGTCCTTGTATATTAATTTTCTCAAATTCACCTTGATTTCCATAAAGACAGAAGGTTCAACCCCCCTGAAAATTTTATGTGATCAATAAGGGGCTCTTCATTTAATTGGCTTGAGTAAAGTCTGTTGACCTTCTGACCTTCTGACCTTCTGACCTGCTAACACAATACTTACTGGCAACATGGCATTGAATAGATGAGTGATAAATGTAGCACCATTGTCTGCTGCTTTCTCTGCAATGGACAAGTTTGCTGCTGAGTGACCTGCAAAGATAGGAAATCTCAACTGTTTTGAGCAACAAATGTAAAGGTAAAGTCTGCTCTCAAGCATGCATTAACGGCTCATACTGCCACAGTTTGATATCCTTGTTTCCATAGCACTGAATGCTACCCCCAAGAATTTTATCAGGTATCCTTGATAGTTTGCCAGGACCCATTGTTACTCCTGGGTGGAGAGGGTCTCTGTGAGTTAAGCGTCTTTCCCAAAACCACAATAAATGACCTGCTAAGGACTCAAACCTGGACCTTTTGACCCCCCCTCCACAGTCCAGTCTGCTGATATTAGCCTTTCCCACATTTCAAGTAATGGTTAGTAATGATTGAACACAGTACTGACAGTGGATTCCTCCTTTAAATGAAAACTTTTGGAGAATAAAAATTTTGGTAGAAAATATAAGATGATTGCAACACCTAAGATAGTAATAATGTACTCTATCTAGAGCAAAAAAATAAAAGCTGCCTGTCAGAATAATCAAGTGGCTTTTTAAATGCAGTCAGGTCCCCTATACTTGATTGCACAGCCTGGTAGATTACAAGGTCATATTCTTTTTTCCATTGATAAAACAGGAAAAGTTGTTTCTAAAATTCACCTATTGATACCACAATGTTCCTCTTTACTAACTGTTGTATGGACTCCATACTTTCCCCAGCCAGTTCGGGAGCTATTGTTATGATGCTAACATGATCTAATGAACTATAAAAGTCCTCAATTTCTTGGGCTCCTTTGGTGCTGATCTGCCTCATCAGATGTTCTTTGTGAGCTCCTTTCATTTCAGGATTTATGAATGGACCTTCCAAATGGGCTCCTGCGATTATGATGATTAACAACTGAGTTGCTTTAACCCTTTTAATTCATCTATGATCATCATGGTGTTAGAATTAACTACAAAATGACCACAATCATACAAGGATTGCTGATTTAGTCAACACACTACTACTGTTCCATCTCAAGGTGTACAGTCACTATCCTCATGATTATCATCATCATCACCATTATCGCAGCTGTCATAAATGTCATTCCCTGCACAACTATAATGATTGCATTATCATCTACATCTCCATTGTCAAATTATCACCATCATGATATTTATCAAAACCATCAGTTTCATCATTTTGATATTGTTATCATTATTAGGTAATTCTCACCTAATACTTCTGCACCATGAACTCCACCTGGGGTTCGTTTTATCTTCTTCAAAATCTGGGGACAAATGAAAGTTCCACAAAGCATTTTAACCCTTTAACTCCCATGAGTGACCAAGACAGAATTTCTCCTTATAATATCAATAAAATACTGACCAGATAAGTGATGAGAATAAAGAGAAATATCAATTAGGGGATAATTGGTTGATCCAATACTAAATTCTCTGAAGGAACATCATGAGAATTGTATGGTTGACAGTAAAGAGAAGTACAAATTTGATCTGGGAGTTGAAGGGTCAAGGATTTATTAGCTTCTGATATGGCTAGATTTTCCTAGAGAAGAAAGCAACACTACAAGAACATGTAATATTTCCTGTCACTCCATGCAACAGAAACCATGATAAGCTCTAACAGGACAGGCCTTTAAGTGTGCATGTTGCTATTCCATAATAGGATTTTATTTACCTCATTGTAACTTGCTTGCGATGATGTGACAATTGTAGGACAGTAAGATGTCACACCATGCTGTAACAAACCCTTGGAAACAGTCTTCAAACCTTCCTCCAACTTATCGGGATCAGAAGAGAAATCAACTCCAAATCCACCTTGAATGTAACAAATATTAAAGAAAATACAAGGCTTCATTGTCTCCTATGTATACATAGACAAACATAAGCAGAGGCAGAGCCCCATCAAGCTGTAAGAGAAATCATGGTCTGCTGGAAGATTCTCTTTCTACCTTGGGGATCTGAGGAACCCTACAAGGTCAATGTGGAGTCTAAACCTTAAAACACCTAAGAGTGACCAGCATCAAATTTCTCTCTACAATATCACCACTGAATCACACATTATAATGTCATGAGAATAAAAGAAATGATCATCAACTGAAGAAACTCTTGATTGTTAGACAAATTCTCCTTGTCAGCACCTCAGTAAATGTACAGAGAACAGTGTGGAGAATATGAATACTGACGTTAGAGTGTAAAGGTTAAGTGCCTATACAGCCTCCACAGGGACAAACATAAACCCAACCCCCTTCAAACAACATGAACGTGATAGGTTTCAAGATGGAGCAAAAGCACAACCATTTCCCTAATCCCCTTTGCAAGAGGCTGCAACCATCTCAATCGCAAAACAGTTTCAAGTTATGTAGACAAAATGAGAACTTACCATTTATTTGGAGATCAATAAATCCTGGGCTTATGATTAAACTGTTACAATCAATTTGAACATCGGCGAGAACTTTCCCTCCCCAAAATACATCTCGTGGATCAATAATCTTGCCGTCTCTCACCCAAAGGTCTTCTTCAATTAATTTACTGTCTCTCAGTAAACGGCAGTTCTTGAACTGGTACAATTTTGTTTGACCCTCATGCCGCCTTTTCATACTGTGTGAAAAAAAAAGCGTGTAAAAACATCTGCTCCTGGGTTGAAATTGGGATTTAATTCATTTATTCATCTCGGATCGAAAGCTCATTAATAGGGCTAAAATCAGTGCACAACAATGAAATCTTCGCTTAGTGAATTCCAGGTATATGATATTCTTTTAAAATACGTTAAATACCTGTGGAAGGAGCTCGAACTCTGGAAAACATTGAAAATATCAGATGCGAGTGATTAATCCACGTGAAGTCATTCATGAAGCAGAAACTGTTACAATGCAGTTGAGACTAGTGACGAGCAGGGGCTTGGGTAGGAGATAGATAGATAATCTTTATTTACCCACGGACAATTCATCAGCCATAAAAACATTTAAATATATAAACATGCATTAAATGGCTAAGATACTATAAAAACTATACTTAAAGTACAAACCTAACTAAAGCTGCTTTCCACGAATGCCGTGCTTGAACGTACTTCTTTAATCAAACACTTAAATAACCCAAGGGACTCTGCTTGTCTTACGTCACGAGGAAGTCTGTTCCAAAGGGTGACGCCACTATAGCTAAAGTTATTTTTGTAATAGTTTGTGCGTGGCAAAGGAACATTAAGCTTATTCTCAGAGTCTCTTAGGTTCTACGCAGTTTCTCGTCTTTCAAATTTAGAACATAAATAATCTGGAGCTAAACCGTGCAGAGACTTAAAGACCATTATGGCTCTTTGAATTTGCTGCTGGGAAGCTAGGTTTTTCCATCTCAGGAGCTCAAACAAGTGACCAGCATCAGCGTCATAATTTGAATACGTCAAAACACGGCCTGCTCTGTCTTGTGGTTTCTGTTCCTTTGTTCTGCAAAGTTATCCCGCAGTTTCCCCAAACAATATTACAATAGTACAGTCAAAATGTGGCTGTGATCAGAGCTTGATATATTAGAAGCAAAGTCGCTTGAAGGACAAGGTGCCTCATTCGTTTTATAGCCCCAATGTCAGAAGCGACCTTCTTTGTTAGTTCATCGATGTGACTGCTCCAATCGAGTTTGTTATCGATGGTCACTCCAAGTGATTTTGCGGTGGTAACCTGGCTAACTTGATCGTCATAAATTGTGATCATGGGAGAAACTGCGAGAGTACTCAATCTCTGCCTTGAACCGATGAGCATAAACTCAGTTTTAGTCATATTTAAAGTAAGTTTGTTCGCTCTCAACCAATTGAAAAAATTTTCTAAGTCTTGATTTAAATATAACTGGGAGATCGTCTACACAATCACCCGCATATGTAAAGTGGGTGTCGTCGGCGTACATCCTCGGTTCACAATTGGATAAACAACTCGGAAGATCATTGATATATAACAGGAATAGCAATGGCCCGAGAATCGTCCCCTGGGGGACTCCACAAGTTAATGAACGGTTATTAGATAACGACCCATTAATGGGGTACATTTGCGTGCGATTCTCTCAGTATGACTTAAACCATTTGAACGCATTTCCCCATATGCCGTAGTGGCTTAACTTGGATAGGAGGATCTCGCGATCAACTGTGTCGAAGGCCTTTTTTAAATCAAGAAAAACGACAGCGTTGGTTTTTCCACGATCAATATTATACGCCTAAGTGTCAGTGGCTTCAAGGAGGGCCGTAGCATTTGAATAAGTAGCGCGAAAACCCGATTTATATTTACAGATGATACTTTGCTCTTCTAAATAGGCATATAATTGATCATAGACAATTCTTTCAAACACCTTGGCTACGACTGAGTGAAGAGTCACTCCATTAATGGATAGTTTCCTGAAGGCGAACACCATGCCACGATCGCTAATACTGAATGTGAACCCTCGACCGTGTTAATTTTCTGCTTCTTGATTGATCAAAAATCCGGCGTCTTGGTTGTGATCGGTTAACTATTCTATGTGGTTTGCTATAAAGAGGAACTAGCAAGAACTTTTCTCTCTCCATAAGGCTGGAGCAGATCCTTGATTCGCAATTATAGATATCACCTTTCCGGAGAGTAGATGAAGCTACAGAGGAACTAACAAAAACACGATCTAAATTTGGATACCCAAAAAGGAAATTTGTACATGGGATCACAAACGGCAAAGGACACATTCAATAGATTCATTGGAGTACAAGGCCCCTGTATTCATTTCGTAGAGTCTGCACGAGATTTATGTCATATATAGCAGGAAATTGAAACGAGAAAAAAGAGACAACTTGAACAACTGCTGATTTATTGTTTTCAAGACAGCCTTCCAGAGGTCTAAATTGGCATTTTACGTTCAGAAGACATGTCAAAATCTTGGCCTACTAAATAGAATGTACACCACTTTCATTCTGGTATTTTCTGTACATTTCTATCAACTCCCTAGAAGTTCTTGGCTTCACCGCCCTAAAAGCTTCATCGAAATGTCTCCTAAGCACTTCATTGGACTCAATGTCCTCTTGAAGGGCCATCAGAGCGGCCTCACGGCACAACGCTGTTATTTCAGCTCCCGAGAACATCTCGGTCTTTTCAGCAAGATCTCCCATTACGACGTCATCTCCCAGGGGAGTATCATTGAGGTGGATTTTAAAGATCTCCTCCCTCGCGTTTTTGTCCGGAAGTGGCACATACACAATCCGATCAATTCTTCCAGGGCGGAGCAGTGCCTTGTCAATCATATCAGGACGGTTCGTGGCCGCAACCATGACAACGTCTTTAAGTGTTTCCACGCCATCCAGCTCAGTCAAGAGTTGAGTGAGAACGCGGTCGGATACACTTGACCCACCGTCATCTCCACCGCTCCCACGGCGCGCCGCGAGGGCGTCGATTTCGTCGAAGAAAACGATGGATGGTGCGGCAGCACGTGCTTTTTGGAAAACCTGGAAAAGTGATGGTAAGTTTTAGAGCAAGAAGTTTTTCGAAAAAAAAAAACTTTCTTCTTTTCATTATCGAGCACAAAATGTACTCTCTTTCTTACTCTATAGCAAGTTATTGAATATGATGTTATAACATGGCGATTGACGTTAAGACAGAATGCCTTAGAACTAATTTTCGAATGAAAGAGTAAGAGGATAAATTTCCGGGTTCGGTGGCAAAGTCAAGAAGGTAGAAGGCACCAGTATTTGTCTAATTTCACATGGAATATTAGGGATTAACATACTAGTAACTCGCTGAGGAGAAAGCGAAGATACTTGCCAGATGACAAGTAGTTACACTTGAGGAATTTGACGCATTATCACCCGCGGGGCATCTCGCTGGACTGTTCACCACTGACCTGTCTCACTGCTTTCTCAGATTCTCCAACCCACTTACTGAACAGTTCAGGCCCTTTCACTGCCAAGAAGTTGAGCCCACTTTCTGTGGCCAGTGCTCTCGCCACAAGCGTCTTGCTGCATCCCGGGGGACCGTACATCAGAATCCCCTTGGGGGGGCGAATACCCAATCGTTGAAACGCCTTTTGGGGAACCAATTAAAAGAGATTGTCCGTCAGAAAAGTCAGGGCCAAGATCGAAGTTAACCTTGACTGGCGTTAAAATTGGTTTTCATTCCTTAAGTTTTATAACGTATATAGAGGCTAAGGTTTTGTGGGATTTTATCGCAGTGTTGATAACACCCAATTAACACAAAATTACCTTGTTATACTTTCTCACCGACGTAGCACCACAGTTTCTTTAGAAAGTTACCCCCTTTATTCATTTAAGAGAAAAATATCACGCTAATCATGGAATAGCTTCATCGTGGTTTGTACAAAACGGTCACGGGAGATTCAGTACCAGTAAAATATAAGCCACAATTTTATAGATAAATTGCAACTCATACGAAGACTGGCATGGCTCGTAGGAATCACTTCCACCAGTATGTCTCTTGGTTTATTTCTCTTTCTTATAAATTCAAAGTTATTGTTAATCACCTCTGGATGTTTTAGTGGCCATTCCACAGCTTGTTTTAGCTTCTGTTTGATGACTGCATTTCCCCCGATATCCTCCCAACGAACCTACACAAATCAGAGAATAAGAAAGATGGTAAATTTTGAGCTCGGGAATAAAATAGAGCAGGGCATTTTTGGTATCGACAAATTCACGTATTGTCTTCTAGAAAGGTAGTGTACTCTTGGATAAATAAATTTTTCTGTGAATTTCGATTGAGTGCCGTGAAACCAACATCAAAGTATTTACAACGGCCATTGAAGGTAAAAGGAAAGTAAAGCGAGGAGCCGATGGTAATTCCAACAACAACAAAAAAAACAAGCAAATTGTGCGAAACCCGGGAAAACGCGAGTAACCAAGACGCGGTTGGTGTTCGTTCTGCGTCTGATGGTGACGCTTATTTTCTGGATCAATTATAGAGCGAAGCAGAGCAGAGCCAACGCAAGTCTATATCACTTTAGAAACCAAATTAAAAATTCCCTTAAACGAAGGAAAATTACAAGTTTTCTCCTGCGCTGCAAAAATATTGACCCTATCGATTCTCTGAATTGCAGTTTGCTCACAAGCGTTCAGTATTCATGGTTTTGCAAAAATAAACCGAGGACCGTCGGTATTTAAAAAGCCTATTCCACAAACCGGCCTTTTAAGCCGGCAAACCATCATTCTCCAAGGTCAAACAGAAATACCATTGAACACGATTCCCACCTTAGGTACATCAATAGACACTTCGCGCATAGCACTGGGGCGGACCTGTCGGAACGCCGCCATGATGTCCTCTCTGGTGACCAAAAGGCGCTCTTTTAAGTATTCCTCCTGGACCCCGACGTCATCGGTGGAAAGTCCGTTTTGTTCCGCTAAACAACGTTTGAATGACATGAACCCTGCTTCTTTACACACAGCGGTAAGATCTGCTCCTACATAGCCATGAGCCAACTCTGCGAAACTTCAAAAAGAATGAAAAAAGAGGGTAAGTTTCTACAGAAACTGAGGTGCTGCGTCGGTGAGGTTGTGACGTGATAATTTGGTTTGATCAACCGAGTTGATAATATTAACCCTTTAACTCCCATGAGTGACCAAGACAGAGTTTCTCCTTACAATATCATCACAGTATCAACCAGACAAGTGATGAGAATGAAGAAAAATATCAATTTGGGGATAATTAGTTGATCAAATACTGAATTCTTTGACCTAACATTATAAGAATTGTATGGTTGACAGTAAGGAGAATGACAAATTTGATCCGGGAGTTAAAGGGTTAAGAGGCCAACATAAAGAGTTTCACAAGCTGATCTCTCGAGCGTTAGCCCCTTGTCACGGCAGGGCTCTAACGAAGGGCTGACACTCGACTTTTCAGTCACTCAAAAGGCAGCTTCGTCAGCACAACCTTTTCCTCGACTTTCTCCCTTCTCTTTTCGATTTGATTTTTCAGCTCGATACGATCAACTTCTCTGCGTCGTTCTTGTTTACATACCTTCTCAAATCATCTTCCGTGCAGCCATGTGGCACATTGAGCAGAAGAGTCCGCAGAATATCTTCACGGTCGTTAGCATTTGGTATTCCAATCTCAATTTCTCGATCCAGTCTACCCGGTCGGCGAAGGGCTGGGTCTATGGCGTCTGGACGGTTAGTGGCCGCCAAAAAGATCACGTGACTCGATGAAAAATTCTATAAATAATCACTTGAGTTTCAGTTTTATCTATTCTCTGACAAGCGGATTAATAATCATAATTCTTTGAGTTTGTAAACAACTAAACTCGTGTAAGGTCAAACTTCTTCACTCGCCTTGGGGAGCATAGGTCTTTTGTTCAGTTTAGATGGATTTTAAGTGTTTATTTCCGAGACATAGATAGGCTCAGGGTCGAAAAACTCCTCCTCATTCATCGTCATTATCATTATAATAACAATCATCACCAAAATAATAACCATTTCAATCCTCACCGCTGTGTCTGCTCCATCCATCAGAGTGAGCAGAGTAGCCACTACTCTCTTCTCAAACTCATTTTGTACCTTATCTCTTTTGGGACACAAAGCATCCAGCTCATCTATGAACACGATAGTAGGAGCCCTCTCGCGAGCCTCGCGGAATATGTCCCTCAAACGTGCCTCTGTTTCACCGTAATATCTGGCGGGAAAAAAAGAGAGAACAAAAAGGTTACTGAAAGATGGTGTTATTCAGTGAAAGACACGGCATAATTGGAGTAAAGGAACGATTTTTGCTTAGAATGCGCTACCACTGAGCTATAGAAGACTCGAGGCCGTTTAACTAGGTGCATGGTGACAAACTTCCCACACACTACTACGAAAGGAATGTCGAATGCAATGCCTTTGCGTGATGATGATGTAAATGAAGATGGTAACTGTGTTGAACAGCCTTTTACGCAATGCGAGTAATGTTAGAATTGTGAAAATTTTTAATGTCGCGGGGTATGCTATTAATGAAGTATAAACGCTTTACAGACCTACTCAGAACATCCGGGCCATTAAGGCAGATAAAGTGGGCACCAGACTCCGCGGCCACTGCTTGTGCAATGAGGGTTTTCCCTGTTCCAGACGGACCGTGGAGCAAGACACCGCGCGGGGGTGGAATACCTGAACAATGAAGAAATGTTGTAGAAACAATTCATAGACCGTAAATGTTTATCAATTCCCACGACTTCCACAGGGGGACCAACTGAAGAAAGGAAAACATCTTTGAGAGTCTATGAAGACAACAGTAAAAACAACCAAACTGCCAAAAGCGCGGGAAAACGCGGACGACCAAGTCGTAGTTTTTGCATCTGATTGGTTAAGAGAGTGGTGGGAGTTTTCTGAACCAATCAAATAGCGAATTGTAGGAAAACCTAAGCAATCACGTATTACTTTCGATAGAAATTGAAAATTACTCTAATAGAGTATTGGTTACCCTAATTCAGAGAGAATCCCCCTTCCTTTGCCTTTAAAGGAACTCACTTGTTATTTAACAACAACTTACCGTAATTTGTAAACATTTCAGGATGTTTAAGAGGAAGTTCGATCATTTCACGCACCAGCGCAACTTGCTTATGAAGTCCTCCGATAGATTTATAAGTTACTTTATTTTTTAGCACGCTATGCTCACTTTGACGCGTTCCGCGAGCGTGAATTGTCAGATGCGTTTCTTCTGGTGAAATATAATAAAATAATGACTGACTATCAAGTTGGTTCAGTGGGAAATCTGACCGCAAAGTGTTTCCATATCCGTGATCTATCTTCGCCTTTGCATGATACGACTGTGGCAGAGATCCTTCACTTTTTTCTTTTGATTCCACATCAACTAATTCGTCCTCAGTGTGGTTTTCTTTTTGATAATTAGATGTCAAATTCCTCCGAATTGTCAAATCTTCAACATCACGTGACATAGCAGCTTTTGCATCCATTCTTGTTCCCCTATTAAGGCTGAGCATTTCCAGTTGGTCTGTAAGCTTTGAAGTCGAAGTGTTAGAAAATATTTGCTGGGGCTTAAATTCAGCTGGAGAAATTGAGTTTGTATCAAGTGTACAGGATCCAGTTAATCCTATAACCATTAGCTGCCGGGCTCTGCCATAGAATGTGACTTCTAATTTGTGTCCAGGACAGACATATTGATTCCCTGCAATGGTTTTGAACAAGTTTAATAAACAGTCACCCAAGAGATAAATACAACCTTTAGTACCCAGTAGGGTTGGGTAAGGATTGGGAGTAACAGTCTAGCATGACTCAACCAATTGGCATCTTACAATATGGTCTCCCTACCCCCCTCCATGAATATTCATTGCCATACACATGCAATTGTAACATATTTGGTATCTCAACAGTCACATGCAGTCAGGTTCCAGGAATATAAATGGTATGTCAAACAGAAGAGAATCTCATTGGTTTAGGTTGTTGAAGAAGCAACATAGGTTAGAGAAACCTATTAGTACTTACGTAAATCTTGAAGACAATAATCAGTAAACAGTTGGTTCACTTCAAACTCCACTGCATCACTAGAATGAAACAAAAGTAAGTAAATCTTTTATTTTTGGGCGGGAAGCCTTGTTAATTGGTGAGGGAGCTGCTACCACTAACTGACTGAGAACAAATTGGGTCATCCCCATCTCCCTTAATGCATTTTGTCCAGTTGCACATACAAACAGCAATGTATAATTCATGTCAACTCTTGTACTGTGAGATACTGTTAGATTATTCAGCAGCATTTTATCTATGAAGCACAGTACATTGTGGAACAAGGCTCTCCATCAGTTGGCCTGAAAATGTCTCTACCCTCTCTGGGCTGTTAGTAATCCTTTAACCCCTAGGAGTGACTAGCATCTAATTTCTCCCAACAATATCACTCCTATATCACATATAAAGGGTCATGAGAATAAAGGAAATGATCACCAATGAAAGAAGCTTTTGATTGGGTAAACAAATTCTCCTTGTCAGCACCTTAAGAAATGTATAAAGAACAGTATGGAGAATATGCATACTGATGTTAGGGTGTAAAGGGTTAATTCTTGTAACCAGAGTGCACATAAAGATGGATTGCAAAATCCGAGAAGTCATGCATTTACTGCTACAGCAGAAAAAGGAAAAGAATCAACCATTTACCACAACTCAAGTTCTACCCTTGCAGCATGTAACCACAACTTTTTCAGTGCTCTAATGCTGACAAATTCACCTCCTGAAACCTAAAAAACGGGAAAACTTAGTGAATAGGGCCTTGTTGAATAAAATTACAAACTTTTCTTCATAATAAGAAACAAAACTAAAAGAGATTACCTGCAGATTCTCAAGAGACAGTTGTGATAATGCCACACCTGGGTGGAGAATACTATTAATCAGTAATTACCAGCAGCAATAATTTTATGCCCTTGATAAATTAAGTCATTGGAACATTGATGAAAAAATCAAATGTTATCAACCTACACTCTGGGGAGACTCCTGATGAAGGCCATGCCATACAGACAATCTGCCAATGTAATATACAATGATCTTATTATCATGCTCATACACTAAAAATGAACCATGTAAAAAATTATAAGCCTTTTTCTGAAACATTTACCTCTAAGTTTTTTTGGTCTGACCTCAACACAACTCTTTTTCCAATGGGCAGGTTGCACTCCCTCATTGTGTTACTGTTCAGCAAAATCACATTCTTTCGAGATGGCAGTGGCAGCTTACTATCTGATATAATTACAGTTAAACCATAGAAATTAAACTTAAACCCCTTCTAAGCATCCAGTAATAGCTTTGGGAGGTCTTCTCTATGTAAAAATCCTCTCATTCTGGTTGCTGAGGTTTAAGAATGACTGGGGCTGGTGATGACTGATCAGTGACAGATCAGGCCTTGTTATCACTTCTCTCCTACTCTAAAGTTGTTTTACAATGGTCTCATAGATATTTGGAAGAACCAAAGAATATTTACTGTAAAATTTTAACAAATTTGGCCAGAACTGCATCTAAAGAGTCCTCACTGGCAACATTCTAACCCCATTCCAGGCCTTGAGTCCGGAGAGAGACCCTGTCCAAGACCCTTAAAATTCATCTATTCTGTTTAAGAGGGAATACCCGTCAGAATAACCCCAACCCAATCTCAATTAGGAAAAACCCACGACCCCTATTTTTCTCCTTGGACCCACGACCGTTCCAACTGATAAAAAACTTTCAATTCAGAAACCACACAATTCTAAGATTGATTCAGAGCAAACACTTGGGTTAAACTTAAAAACAACATCACTGTTAACCTTAGATCACTTCGATCTGACGAACCTGAAATCATTTTGTTGTTCCTCTCCACAACGAGAGCGTGCAGGACACCATCTTGAATGAACGCGCACTTATGATCTTCTCTGGACGAATCTGCTCCACATACCGCCCTGTGATCAGGTAATTGACGAGAATACACCAGTCTTCCACATAATTCACACAACTGAAAGCTATCGTGCTTTTTCTTGCTCATCTTTCGCGCGGAAAAACACGTGAAATTAAAAATTTTCATAGCAAGGTTTACATGACAAAAATATGAATAAATGATAACCCGCTGACATATAGTAGTTCAGAATCAACATAGGTCCCAGTGCTCTACGTTATTTTGTTAAGATACGTGTGAAACCCGAACAGGAAATTTTGCTTTTATTGCATTGTAAAACAAAATTTATCAATCATTCTCCATTAAGAATCTAAGCACACAAGTATTGAAGGAGAAAGCCACGTGTGTTGATCCCTCAACTCTCAAGAATAACCAGGACAGAATTTCTCCTGACAATATCAATGCAATCTCAAGCAGACGGCTGATCATAGATCGAAACGTTCTGAAGGATTTTTTTACCTCTCTACAACTCGGAACCTTTCTTGACTACTTAAAGACACTTGTTGAGTTATTTGTTTGTTTGTTAACTTTAACGTTATTTGTTTGTTAAAACAAGATTTTCGTTTTTATTCGATTCTTTAAGAGTAATATCCAGTTTTTGTACATGCTTTTGACGGACAACTAACAATGTGATTTCGCGATTTAGATAGAAAAACAGAAAAAAAAAATCAGTGGATATAATTCTTATCGAAAAACATGGGAAAAATCCAGGTAAAACTCAGATGCTCAATTTCAGTGTCGAAAGATCGATTGCCAACAATGTTTGAATAAAGCAATAATGAATTTCAACGCAAACTTCTTTGTTTCGATAGTTATCAGTGTTTCGAAAATAGGGAAAACCAAGAAGGAAAATAGAAGTTGTTCCAGCAACTATCTTCATAAAACCGTGCCAGGAAAACTCAACATAAAACAGAGATGCAATGTTTATTTTCGCGTTTTTCAAAAAGATGCAAGTTTCTTATTTAAAGGTTTAGAAAATCAGAAAAAATCTTAAAAAAGAGAAGTTACCTGATATATTCTCATTAAGGCCTGGAAATTTAACATAAAACAAGGAATGAATTTTAACATTTAGTTTTGCGTTTCACAAAGCACCTATTGTAATTTTCTCGTTGGTTTTTCGTGTTCCTTGCATATAAATTTGTTACCTCATTTCTAAAGAGACAAAGCTAAGATCGAAGAGGCGTCTCTGGCTGAATAATTTACGGGATTACCTTGGTGGTGTTACCACCCCTTTCCGAGAGAAAACTGGTTATTTATTGTAACTCCACTTACATACATTTATAACGCGAACTTGTTTTGTTTAGAAGATCCCCTTATTCATGGTAATAACAACACGCTTTGTAACAAAACAGCGTTAACAAAAGAGAAATAGTTGTTTTTGCTAACTGCACGGAACAGAAAAAAACATAAATTAAACTGGGGCTATATGGTGAACTCAATGATCCTGTGATTCCAAGAGCAGAATTAAGCCTTCATCTCCACACAACCCCTCCCAAATGGATCCGCCATTTCTAACAATCGGTCCTCAGTCTCCTATAAGAGGCATGCTCGCCTCTGATTCCTAAGGCTGTGTTAAAGCTACGAATTTTGCATAGCGAATCCTTATCATTACTCGTTCCTATTTACTTTCTCAGTCTTGCTCTTCTACTGCCCAGTGTTTGAACCTCAGTGTTACGCAAACGTCTGTTTCTCAAATGTCTTATTTCTGGCTGAAGCTCGAAGAGGTCACCCAGTCCTCATTCTCAACAACAGGAATCACATTAATAACCGTGTGTATGATTTTTTTCGAGTTAATAGGAAAATAGGAAAAAAGTAAAAACTTGATACGCGACAAAATAAAAAAAAAAATTTTCATTCATAAATAAAACTTATGAATTACCGATCAATAGGAAAGATTCAATAGAAAAAAACAAGAAAACTTCCTTTGACATCGCATAACAAGACAGCTACAAGCTAGAAAGGGCGGATCAAGTTTCTTAAAAAACGAGATTGAAAGAACGGTAATTGGTTTTGAATTTATTACCTGCTGCTTGGGAACAAAAGGATGAGAACATTCTTTTTAATATTTATATTTGTGAGTCTAATATATACTGGACGATATACAAGCAAATTTCACAGCAGATCTAAAATTGGCAGAAGAGTTTACTTTACAAGAGGCTTTATTTTTCTGGTGCAAAAGAAGACACTTATCCACAATGAAGATTGCCCTGTATCTGATTGGTGCTGCTTGGATGGTTTATGTTATAGTGGATGCTGGTAAAGGAAAAGCCCGTAAGTCGGTGTAATTCTTAGTTTATAAGCATCATGTTCAATTTGTTTTCAAAAGTAATCCTTTACTGCATTAATTTTTTCTTCGATACTCTCTTCAGTTAGTCTGGAAAAGTCGCACCACCTTAAACCAATCGACCCTTAGTTTTGCACCTCTTTTCGCATTGGGAAGGGCACGACACATGTACTTCCAACATTAACAGTATCTCAAGAATCAAAAGGGATAACTTGAAATCTCACATTGCCTTATCTCTCTGTAAAATTCGCGCCTCCCGCATTAATTTTGGGCCTAATCACGTGTCACGCATGAACCTTTTGCTACCCTCTTCGAGCAGTTTGTGTTATTACTTTAAGATATTAGTAACCTTGGTAAATTTCAACAGTTAAATTGGTCAGCCGTTTAGTAAAGCGTTCCGTTCTTTTCAAGTGGTCCCTTTACGATGATTACGAAAACTGGTATCTTCTCGTTCAAAATCATTCAACATTCTCGCTTTTTCTTCAGTCCTTACCCAGCAAAACTTGTTTTGACTATTTGTAACAGTGATAAAGAGGCCATGTGAAATTGTTTTTTTTTTACTTTCAAGATAATAACAAAGGAAGTCACAAGTCAAGTAAGTATTTCCTTACAGACCAAAATACCTTCCCTCCAAGATTGAAATTCCTAATTTCTTGATTATTTGATTCCCTTCACGATGAGTACAAAAACTGGTATCATCTCGTCAAAAATAATTTGACATTCCCGCTTTTTCTTCAGTACTTACCCAGCAAAACGTGTCTTGACTACTTTTAACAGTTATAAAGAGGTCATATAAAACTTTCATATCATTTCTTTTTTTTTTGCTTTCAAGGTCATGACGAAGGTCACAAACTACGTAAGTTTTTCCATGCAGACCAAAATATTTTCCCTCTAAGATTTAATTTTCTATTTTCTTTTAATTTTACCTCTGTTATAGTATAGTGCGAGGAAAAGGGTATTGTATAACGACATCTCCATCAGTTAAAAAACACAATTTATACAGAAACAAAAACACGGACTAAACTCTGTCTTTGCCCCAGATCGTGATGATATTTAAAAGGTCAGAAAGTCGTTGCTTTATGGTATGAGATTCGGACTCTTCTAACAGATTGTGCTTGGTGCATTTAGGCAGTCTGTACCTAATCTCAAGGGCGACTAATTGTTGAATAAGGAACCAGCCATTTATTAATAACCTGGCGGAGAGATCCCATGGTTTGCAGGGGGGGGTGGAGGGGAAATCAGTCGTCTCTAATATAGTATAGAAAAATGACTGCCAATTGGCTGCCAACGAGGGAAAAGGATCATGAGTGTATTACAGAGTGTTATAAAGGGATAAAGTAAAATTCCACCGTGACACAACCAATAATGACCTTTCCCTTTGTTCAAATCTCTTCTCTTCCTTCAGCTTGTACGGCCGACGAAATTAAAGCAACAATGTGTTTGAATGGAACGTGTTTCGCCTTGGAGCCTGGCCCGGGAAGCAGGTCCATAGGTTGTCATTGTGAAGAAGGATTTACAGGTTCCAGATGCCAGTATCAATCAGTAGACCCGGACCTCCTGGAGACAGAACCTGGAAATTAACAATCTCTCCTGGAGATTAAAAAAAAAAATTCTTGAACAACTCCGCAGATTTAGTACTAGCGAGTTGAAAAGGAATGTGAAATTGTGAAAAATTTGGGCGAAAACTGAAATAAATCTGATGGCATAGAAAATTTTTGGATGAGTCAAATATGAGTCAGGCAATAAATGTCCAATGGAGGGTCAGGGAAAACTCGCCCCAGTCTCCAACCCAATCTCAGCCCCAGTGATGATGGATGACAGCACAGATTTTTTATGTGCATCCTTATATTTCAAATAAGATTCCGTGTTTTCTCTTTTTCCCTTAACGCTTCCACAAGATACCAATTGGTCGAGCAAATACTTCGATGATTAACAAGTTTGTTTGTCAGAATTGATTATAGAAAGAATAGTTTTTCTAATTTGTCATTTGTCTTTTTCTCCTTCATCCTTTGCACTTTCCTCATGTAAGCCGGAAAGTCCTTCGCACTTTCGTCACATGAAGCTTTCTGTGTTCGCGTAGAATTTGCCTCATGTACTGGAGAATCAAATGTCCACGAGTCTGACAATTCCACTTTTTCTTCAGTCTGACCTGAAAAGCTCCTTAATTCCTCGTGAACTTCTTGATTTGTATCGAAATCCTTCGCCGCTAATGGGTTTTGTAGTATTACAATACTTCGCAAATTGTCATTTTCATCGAGTACCACTCTAGAAGTCTTAACACCATTAAAAAGTTTCGAACACTTTCGTCAGATGTTTCACGATAAGAATTCGACTTTGGATCGGAAATGTTATCGCTTTTTGGTTCTGACGAAAAGAGCCGATCATGACGCACGACCTTCGGAGTTCCATTTTGGCTGCTTGTCATGGCATCTTTTTTCCCGTGATTGAGATTAGTAGGTTTCTCAATATATTCATCCATTTTATTTACCGACTTTAAATGAATTATATCGTACGCTTCATCTTCATCGCCGCTAAAATCCGCATTGGTTCTTTCGCCGATGTCAGAAATTTCTCCCTCCGACTCGTAACCATCTATGTTATCTCTCCGAATATTAGACGGAGCTTTTCCCGTACTTCTGGTTTCGCTTATCACAGCTTGAGGAGATTCCGATACAATCGTTAAAGACTGATCTGCCTCAGCCTCCGCCGGTTTTGTCCCAGCTCTTGGATTTTTGCTTGCACAGAAATCTTGTATTTTGTCGATGCCCCCAAAGCTAAATCGTTTCACGGCGTTTAATGCGAGAGGGCTAATGGGTCTTTTCTTGTCATCAGATGGGGTACCGTTTCAGTTCCAGCGCAACTCGCACGAGATCTGGGAGGGACCAATGGGAGGTGGTCTTGTGACAGAAGAAGGACGGAAAGATCCCGGTCTGCGACCACCGAGGTCCACACTAAGAAGCTGCTGAAGCTGTTGACGAGAAAAACAAAATTCCCGGCTGAAATTATTATTCCAGCTTGAATGATTTGCACACTAAGACAGAGGCCTTATTTTCGGAAGCCAATCCTATATTTACACCATTTTCACTCGCTCATGTTAGGGCGCTATTTGGTTGTTTATTTAATAAACTAAAAGTATAGTCGGCTGTAAATATATGAAAGACATATATTTGAACTGCGGATAAAGACGTGAATAAAAATTGATTGATCCACCATTTCCAATAATCGGTCACTAATCCTTTATAAGAAGCATGCTGTCCCCTGATTCCTAAGGCTGTGTTAAAGCTACGAATTTTGCATAGTGAATCCATATCATTACTCGTTCCTATTTACTTTCTCGTGTCGCTCTTCTACTGTGCAGTATTTTGTACCACAGTGTTACTCAAACGTCTGTTTTTAATGTCTCATTTGCTGCTACAAGCCCGAAGAGGTCACCCAGTCCTCATTCTTAACAAAGGGAGTTACACTAATAACCGTGTACATGGTTTATGCGAGTTTATAAGAAAATAGGAAAAAAATTAAAAACTTGATACGTGACAAAATTAAAAAAAGTCTCTTCATTCGTAAATAAAAACTTATAAATTACCAATCAATAGGAAAGATTCAATAGAAAAAAACAAGAAAACTTCCATTGACATCGCATAACAAGACAGCTACAAGCTAGAAAGGGTGGATCAAGTTTCTTAAAAAACAAGAGTGAATGAACGGTGATTGGTTTTGAATTTATTACCTGCTTCTTGGAAACAAAAGGATGAGAACGTTCTTTTTAATATTCATATTTGTGAGTCTAATATATACTAGACGATAAACGAGCAAATTTCACAGCAGATCTAACAGTGGCAGAAGAGTTTCCTCTACAAGAAGCTTTATTTCTCAGGTGCAAAAGAAGACACTCATCCGCAACGAAGATTACTCTGATTCTGATTGGTGCTGCTTGGATGGTTCATGTTATAGCGGAAGCTGATGAAGGAAAAGCCCGTAAGTCAGTGTAATTCTTAGTCCATACACATCATGTTGGGGTGATTTTTAGTTTTTTTCAAAAGTAATCCTTTACTGCATCAATTTTGTCTTCATTGCTCTCTTCAATTAGTGTAGAAAAGTCGCACCACCTTAAACCAATCGACCCTCAGTCCTGCGCTTCTTTGCGCTTTGTGGAGAATTGCGGCACGTGTACTTCCAACATTAACAGTATTTCAAGCATCAAAAGGGAAAACATGAAATCTCACATTGCCTTGCCTTGCATTCGCATTAAATTTTGGCCTAATCACGCATTAGGTTTGAACCATTTGTTACCCTCTTCGGGCAGTTTGTATGTTTTTACTTTGAGATTTTTTAGTGATCCTGGTAAATGTCAACAGTTCAATTGTTCAGTTGTTGAAAAAAATGTTCCGTTCATTTCAAGTGATTCCCTTCACGATGAATACAAAATCTGGTATATTCTCGTTAAAAATCATTCAACAGTCTCGCTTTTTCTTCAGTCCTTACTCAGCAAACTTGTTTTGACTATTTGTCATAGTAATAAAGAGGTTATGTATCTTTTTTTTTTGCTTTCAAGGTGATGGCGAAGGAAGTCACGAGCTACGTAAGTTTTTCCTTGCAGACCCAAATATCTTCCTTCCAAAGTTAGATTACCAATCTTCTTGATATTTTTTATTTTACCTCGTTATAGTATAGTGTGAGGAAAAGAGTATTATATAACGACATCTCCATCAATTACAAAACACAATTTATACAGAAACAAAAACACAGACTAAACTTCGTCTTTGCCCCAGATCGTGATGATAATTAACATGTGAGAAGATCGTAGCTTTATGTCAGAAGATTCGAACTCTTAATATGTTTTCTTCTAACAGACTCTGCTTGGTGCATTTAGGCGGCCCCTGCCTAATCTAAGGGGCAACTAACTGTTAAATAAGGAACCAGCCGTTTCTTATCCTGGGGGGGGTGGGGGGGTTTAACATGGTTTGCAGGGGGGGAAAACGGTAGGGAAATCAGTCGTCTCAAATATAGTATAGAAAAATGACTGCCAATTAAGAGTGTGTCCACGAGAGTACCAGGCAGTCGTGCTACATGCCATCTTAATGGTTTCAATGAAACTTTGGCAGTTTAAGGGTCTGCCCCAAAACTCAAACAGACAAACTTGTTTCTGTTTTGGTTTTTGGATATGGACCACCACTCGGTTTTTCTTGGTTTTCACCGAGGAAATCGCTTAAAAATAGGTAAAATGTATGAAGCTCTCATTGCAATGGTGATTAGCCGATATTCTGAGGGCTTGTATAGATATTGTTAACTCCTTAATGAATGTATGACGCAAGTGTCAGTCGATTTGATCGATGGCTTTTCAATCAACAGAGGCAAACAAATGACTGTGTTTTAGACTTTTCGATTCATCCAAACATTGAAAACTTTGAGGTCAAATATCTCCCCTTGCCAGGCAGCTACAACACTAAATTTAATTTTCCTTTATAATCCATTATTCCATCTCTGAAAAACATAAAAAAAAACCATCGGGCATTGCAGTATTTTCGTCTTGGATGCCTTTTGAAATATGTGATGGTGACAAGCTTCTCTTAACTACGCCTGTCCTGCAATTCTGGCTCTAGGCAGCCACTTGAGCAAATGGACCTACATTTCATAGCTTGTTATACAAGATGATTGATAAAGGAAGCTAAAAAACTTGAATAACTTTCAAGTTGGAAAATTTCACATACAGAGAGATGCATGTAGGCAAAATGTTGAAAGGAAAATCTTAGTGTTTCTTTCTTCTGTCGTACCACAACTTGAGTTCCACCCTCGTAGCATGTAAGTAAAGCCTTTTCAGTGCTCCAATGCTGATGACTTCATTCCTTGAAACGTAAAAAAAGGGGAAACTATAGAGGGAGGGCCTTGTTGAATAAAATTACCTACTTTTCTTCATAATGAAAAACAAAAATTACAAAAATTTCCAGCAGATTCTGGAGAGAAAGTTGTGATAATGCCACACCTAGATGGAGAACACAATTAATCAGTAATTACCAGTAATATCAGTACCAGTAATTACCAGTAATTACCAGTAATATCAGTACCAGTAATTACCAGTAATATCAGTACCAGTAATATCAGTACCAGTAATTACCAGTAATATCAGTACCAGTAATTACTGCTAATTATCAGTAATTACCAGTAATATTAGTACCAGTAATTACCACTAATCATCAGGAATATTTTTATGCTCATGACAAATTGCAACATCAATGAAAAATGAATGTTATCCAACTACACTCTGGAGAGACTCCTGATGAAGGCCATGCCATACAGACAATCTGCCAATGTAACAAACAATGATTTTATTTTAATTAGAAATTATTCTGGATATGTTCCTCTTTGATAGGTTATAGGGAGAAATCAAAGGGCTAAAGTAACAATCATATGTAGAGTATCTGGCATCTCAATCTTGCCTAACATCCATCATGCTCATACACTAAAGATGAACCATGTAAGAAATTATGAGCCTATTTTCCAACATTTACCTCTAATTTTTTCTGGTCTGACCTCACTACAACTCTTTTTCCAATGGGCAGGTTGCACTCCCCCATTGTGTTACTGTTCAGCTACATTACATTCTTTCGAGATGGCAGTTCCAGTTTACTATCTGCTATAGTCAGAGTTAAAATACAGAAATTAAACTTAAACCTCTTGTAAGTAACCAATGATAACTTTGGGAAGTCTG